TCTAGCATATTTTCTATCCACCTACTTGCATTCTTCCGCCAATATTGGCAGCGATGAAACAATGGGTCGTTGCTCGGGTCGTTGCCCGTGTCCCACCCACAAAACCTCGTGCCAACCCAACCCTACAACCATGAGCAAACACCATCAATATGGCGTAGACATGATACTTTGAGAGTTCAAACACACGTTGACAAAGAGACTCCTAATCAGGAAGACAGTAGCTCATCATTTAATCCATGCCAGAATAAGACTCTTCTACACGATGAGCAAACATCTTCAACCATACACGCAAACAGAGGAACATGGGTAATAAGTATTCACGATATTGAAAGAAAAGGACCAACATCAGGCCTCTAAGTTTGAACAGCAATTCTCAACTGTTAGCAACATTTTCGGTGGTTTTACGCATTATCAATTTGATAGTACAGTGTACCTCAGGACATAGGTGAAATCTCTTTGGTTGATGATATTAGACACTTGTTGTATTGTGAAAGGGAAACATAACTAAATATTTTGTTTTTGTGTCTGTTTCATATTTCTCTTTCTTTCTCCCTTTATATTTCTTTCTATCTTTGTTTTATTTTTTTGCTACACTCGTTCCATAAAAAGAGTTTTAATATAAACCTTGACAAAGTGACAATCGTTATGATATCTAAAATAATGAAGTAGAAACCAACCATAAACCTACGCAGATTGTGAATTGCAATCTGATGCTGATGCTACGACCCTCATAATGTGTAGACCCGTTTACACGATAGTACAATCATCGCTTTAACTTTCAAACTTCAACCTTACCGTCATGATATTGATATAAAAAATGGTAAGATTTGTGAAAATCGCGATGTTAGTACATATTGCATTGTTAGTGAAAACCGCGACGTCTGGTACGTGCCTCTTATTTACATGGGTCAATAAGAGGAATGATGTAAGGGTCATGATCATTAGCAATCCGTGGCCGTGCGTCCTCCTCCATCTCATCCTCTACTGCTCGGCGTGTCTCTGATAGCGAGATGGGAATTAGGATCAAACGAGCACCGGCCCCTTATTGCTCATGTTCAGGGAACATGCAGGAGGAAGGAAGAAGACGTCACGAAGACGTGACGAAGGAGAATTTATTATGAAAAGGTAGTTCCGATTGAGTGAAGGACTTGTGACCACGAAGCCGTTGCTCTGTATTATTATGATGACGATTATGGAGTACACAGTATTGTATATGTATTTGAACTGTAATTAGCATGATTAATTGCAAGCGAGGGCGGACTGTGACGGAGACGTATTAACCCTTAGGGAAATATAGGGCATCGGCTCAGCTCTGGTTTGCGTTGGCTTATTGCCTTCATTTTGGGATGGATATGTTTAATGGAGGTGCTCATAAAACCAAGAACAATCAGGCGAATGGGTTTATAGTTCGTTGTTTCATGGATACGACAAAAAGAAATTGAAACAGGCAGATTGAGTAATACATTAAAAGGAGAAGAAATGTGAATCGATTATAAGCCTAGTATAGGACTTTATACCAATACCACTATGGAAAGATTCAATCAACAAACATATTTATGTGTTCAGTGAAATCTTCAATGCGACACACAATTTATTATTTAAATGCGTTAACCGATGATGTCGCAAATTTAATTTTTCATTTCTAGAATTGTATATAATCATTATTTTGGCTTGCGTTCACGCGCAAACCAGATAAATAAGAATACAATAATTTACACCCAGTATCATCACTTCAATGTCCTATAAACCAAAGCCATTTCGCATTGTACCATTTTTTCGAACTTCACTCCTGTTGCTCTCTTCCCTTCCCTTTAAAGATTCTTGTTTCCCCCCTCACGTCTTTCAATGACCGCTCGAATCTCACTGTCGTGTTACAGGCCAGCAGCTTGAGACGACGGCAGGTGAATCCATGACCGAGAGTTCAACGCCGAAATGAAAACAACAGATGATACCATGATGCTAAATGCCTCAACTCTCGATGACTTCTCGGTCATTAATTCATTAACGATTGTAAGCTTTGACAGAGTGTTATATGATAGACTGAATGGTGCCGAGTTGTCCTGTGAGTATAATGACCCATTGGACGTTGATATGGCCGTACAGTCTTTGCTTTGAAGGTGGAACATCTCTGCCCAGTGTCCTACGTAACAGTCGTGGTTTCATCTTCATTTTCATTTCCTCACCACTGAAACAAAAACAATTTTACGACTTCAGTTCACGACTCGTCGTAAAATTTAAGTAATTACTGAGAAGTTTACTCGAAGTTAAATCGTTAAACTTTTTGTTGTGGCAGACATGGCTCGATAAAACAGACAATGTGTAATTATGGCAGAATAGACCACCCTTTCTTGCATCTTTCATGTTTCATGAATACCCCGAAAGAAATTGGAACAAACAGTATCCTTGTAAAACACAGACAAAGACGTTATCTGCTTTAGCAAAGTGGAATATGAGATGCTCGAACTTCTCAATAATCCCCTTCAACTTGGCAAAACCGTAATACCATGTATTTTCGGGGATTTTATAGGATAGACGGAAATCCAAATATGCGAGAGCCTCTCTCGACAACTGCACCATATACTTTGCGATGAGGTGTATAATGCATCATACATTAGTGGTTATATTGTAGGGACGTTTGCTTCGGAAATTGATAGAAATTGGTTGCAAACTCGGGATGGAGTAGGGTGCGTGAATTCGTAAAATTAGCTCAATTAAAGTGGGCTCAACGTACTGATGGATGCATCTGGTAGTAAATTAGACCATGAGTATTTATATGCGTTTCGGGACACACAGTACATGGGTTCTGACACAAACCCATCGTGCTATTGTTGATGTACTAGAAATGACTTCTGATGATTAAGAAGACGAGTCGCGAACTGAAGTCGTAATATTAAGTCCATCGGAGAGAACTTAAAGTCATCGGTCCTCTGATTGCTTACTGTCTTACAAGCATCATTGTGCTTTCTTAGCAGTCAGGTAAGACGAACCATCAACACTGTCCTAAATACAGACCTACATGTTCATTTGAGCGATACCAAATTAAAGTTATCTTTGCTATGACAGATATTCAGATAAGGGAATATGATTTGTTTTAAATCAAACTAAAATGTTATAGGACTACTTCGAATTTGGAGAGATGTGTACTACTCTTCACTCCTCTCAGCTTTTTTCGTCCCACCTCACACCCTCCACATCTCTGGCTCAATCCTCTATCTCTCTGTTTCTCTCTCCATCCTTCCTTCATGATTATGATCCCTATCTTAATGACGAATTAATTACTCAGCGTTAATGTCATTAATATAAACAGAGAATGTAATTACAATGTTACGTCATTTCGAGATGTCACCGTTTTCGATTCTAGTTGACCGCTCCACAGGTCCTGAGTCACGTTCAGGAAATGATTGCAGGTATCAATGCATCTGACTAATTACTACTAATGCATCCGAATAATTACTACTAATGCATCTGACTAATTACTGCTAATTAGTATGATTAGTTTCTATGACAGGTGGACACATAGCATTATATCTTATTGGGTTGAAAGTACTAATCTAGTATATTAACAAAGATTGAGAGTGGTTACGTAATTATTTTACGACTGCATAATTTGTAATACCTTTGTTTTAATATCTATTTGACCACCTGTCTTGTTACTTCTTCTTCTAAAATGCGATTCACTTATACAGTAAGGTTTGTTTTGTAATTTTTTTCTTCAATCTGAATGAAGAGTAGTTTAAAGAAATTTTCAAGATTAAGTTTACAAATTATCATCGCAAAATAAATCTTGTAAACTAATGTTTCTATAATAAAGGAAAGTGGTTAACAAAAAATATCAAGATGCACCTAAGTTACATTGTGTATCATGACACCATTTGCTCATCCGACCCTCTCTCCATCGCTTTTTTTTTCGAGGTCCCTATTTTTATACAGAAAATAATGTCGAATTAAGTTATAAACGAAACCTACTCAGACAATGTAGACTAAGGACTGTAGGAATGCATTTTGTATCTGTTATTTACATTTTCGCACCTGGCAGACAGTGGAACGTACGTAGAATTTTTACAGCACGGTATACTTGTTTGACTGCTGTTCGGCTTAGGATATAGCTACCTACCCTAATGGTATGCTGACAAGTGAAGGTGAACGTAACTCAATACCACACAACACAAAACATTCATTATAGCAACTGCTCCCCTTCAAAGGGGTTACAACGTGTTGGGCTTGTTTCCACCGTGAAATACCAGCATGAACTACAAGAAAACATTGGGTCATAAAATTACTTCGTTTACGTGCCCAGACATAAACTTATGTTAACTTGTTTTGTGGTCCAAGTTGAAAACCATGAAATCACATAGCCTCGGGTGAGTGAAAGATTGCCTTAAAAATGTGTGTAAATGATACTAAACATAATGCAAAGTTATATTTTCTGATAACAAACAATAAACCGGTCCCTGCATAAACGAAAGAAAACAAGGAGTCAAGATCCATTTTTGGTTACACCGAGAAAGTATGAATATGCAATTAGCTAATTCTGTTTCGGACAATTTCCCTGAAATACCAATTGTTCTAGCCTCGGTATTTTATCTAGCTATCGAAAAGTACTGGTAAAGTGGTATAATGTCACATCGTATTTTATGTACTTTCAAGGCATTTTTAAAATCATTTTTGTTGTGTACATTTTGTTTTTTGTTTTTTATTCATGTTATTTAGCTCAGTACTAAAATCCACTGAATATACCATCAATATTAAACCAGGGGTGGGAACAGGATGTGTACAAAGGGCTTAACTTACACAATTCACAATTAAAGGGGCATTTTTTTAGGTATGCAGATTTGGGGTTCCAAAGGTGGGGGCGCAGGACGGTAGCGCCCCCTAATAAAAGGCTAAGTGTGTCACTAGATTGAACTGTCGAGAAAAAATAAAATGGAATGACATGAAATATTATGTAATGAAATAACACGAAATGAAATGAATGACAGAATGCGTGAAGCTTGACTTACTTTGCATAGCAGAGATCTGCACACACTGCGATGACTAAGGTTAGAATGGTCCCGAGCAACATGATGATTTGGAAGGCACTGTATGATTTATTGAACAATGTTCTTTACAGACCTCAAAACATGAGGTTGGTGAGGCCAACTTCTGCTCCTATATCAGTAGATTTCTGGTTGAAAATGAGCCCGACGGTTCTGGGCAGGTGGGAGCCGTTAATACTCCGTTGGTAAGTTTCGCTGTATCGATCGTAGTCGTAAATTGGAGATGATCCTTGACTTGAGATTGTACGCAGCCCTATTGCGTCTCCTTGAGCTGAAGTGAACAAAGTCCTCCGCTTAAACGTGTGACTTCCAGTGACTGCAGCATTGGAGAGAACAATCGTTAAAACACGTTCATCGTGTCCTCCATGAGAGAAATCTTCTTTTACTTCTTGAATTGTACAAAATCTTCAATGAAATGACAATTAACGTAGCGATGAATGATTTCTACGAGATTCCGCTCGCTGTCTGTTTATCCGTCTAACCTTGACAGGAGTCTGTTTCACTGGAAGCTTAAAAATCAAAATCCACAGTTCTTAATGTTGAATAAAAATTCATCCCACAGAAAGGAGAAAATCCTTTCATATGAGTAGGCAAAATGTTCTTCACATCAAGTGGATGATAAGCCGGTATGGAATTTTATGATCCCATAAGCGATCGTCAGGAGATCCCTGCGTGTTGACACATCGACTGATAGTGAGCGAATGGTGATGATTTCTGCTTCATTCATAAAACGCGTTCGTTTCGCGGGTGCACAGTGTCGTCTGCTTCTCAACACACGTTACTCACGGTAGACCAAATATACGGAGTCACGTGATCCTGCGGCCCTCCCTCACAAGGCGAGCGGCAAACAACAAAGGCGATAAGTCGTCATCATACAAATACGTTGGTTGACCCATCATTTTCCATGGCTGTAGTGCCCTAACAATTGGGAACATCGATTGCCTTAAACCAGGAAGATCCTGCTTAAACATTTATTACAATGCTATCCACTTATCCCCATCTTCATTAAACATGACTTTTTGACCGGTGAGGTATCTTTTGTTTAATCACCGATCAGAGCAAACCACACTCCCAGCACAAAACAGGCTTATATTAACCATAAAACGCTTACATTGTCGCCAAGAAAAGAGCAACTTTTTGTTTTGTATAGCCACCCTCCCCCCCCCCCCCACCCCTTTCCCACGCCTTTCCTCCTTTGACTATCTTTTCGAGCCATTTTTGTCCATGGGGAAGAAATATTTCAATACGTACTATGTGTGTAAATCATCCTGAATGGTCTCAAACACAATGTATAAGCAATAAGTGTGAGTAATTTGTTTAGAAATAGAAGTAACCATTCCGCCCACTTTAAATTGTTTGAAATGTGCTGTTTGCCTTGGACTCGTTTGACGCAAATACTTGCCTCATGGTAATTACGTAGAGGCTTGATTGCAGCCTTGATTGTAATGAATTTAACTTACATATTGCAGTGAATATTGTCAATGAATTATGTAGCTAGATTTCATCACCTAATTTGATAAGATCTGCAGATTACCGTTTTCATACGATGTTCTAATTACTACATAATTAAGTAGGACAGGAAAATGGCAAAATTATGTAGCAATGAAAGGTAAACGAGCGGAAACAGAGACTGGGAAGAAAAATACGTGAATAACATTTCGAAAGCGATGATAAAGAAGAAAGAGAATCGAGGTGGAGGAAAATATAGGGACATGCATGCTTCAAGAAAAGAAGTGCGCTATCTATAATAAGAATAAAAAAGTTGTATTAAATTGATAAAGAAAGGGGAATTGATAATCACAACAAAATACTACATGAAGGATAATTAAAAGGCACATAAATATCGGATACATGTACATTTTTATATTAAAAATAGCGAGCTGAGTAACTAACACTACAAACAATTTTAAAGGAATAAACAAATCACTGATTTCGTATTTGTGCGTGATGAAATTAGTATACTGCCCCCCCCCCTGACAAAACAGCATAACATAACAATTTTTTAAAAATGCATTTTTTGGGGCTTTTGGTATACTCAATACATCATACATGTTAAACCATTTTTTGATTTTTTTTTTTTTTTTTTTTTTTTTAAACAGCATAACAAACATTATGAGCGTAAAAATGCGAGATTTTTCAAAAAAATAATTGAATCTTGTAAGACATGCCAAATGTCTGTTCAGACGACTTGAACCATAATTTATGCAGTCACAAAGTCTCTAAAGGCTTTTAAAAGAACACGTTGTGCCTTATTTTTCATCAACTTAAAAATGTCTGTTATGCTGTTTTGTCATGGGGGGGGGGGCAGTGGAGCTCAAACTCATTCGTTTGAATAAGGATGGAAAAGATAGAATTCGTTGTGACTTTAACTTGATTTAAACTTTCCTTTGAAATTGACAACCTTTGTATTAGTCATTACAGAATCTACAATTTAATAAGACGGGCAAACAAGATTATACTTCTCATTTGATCATTCAATCTTCATAGTACGTGTTTATACATATTTTTTTCATTTAGCATTGACATTTTTTCCTGCTTCTCCAAATTCCCCTTCATAGACGTAAATGAATTACCTTTCTATTGTTTTCCTTTCAAGGAAAAAACCACACAAAACAACATGTCTGACATTGTTCCTATTATAGAATGCCACTAATTGCTTTCCGAGCAGTGTTGTGTGCTTGAAACATTTATTCACTGATTAGTGGCGTTAATTCATCAGCCCTCTCCCCCGTACCATACCCTCTTCCGTCCGTCTGTCTTCCTCGTGCACCCCGGTGTGTGGTATAACGTCTCTCTCGTGATTGTCTATAAATAATGGTTATGTCTGACAGAGAATATACTATGTCGGGATACCTGCGGTGAGAATAATGATCACCACTAATGTGACAATTTCCTGGCAGTCTGCCCCAACATGTTAATAATTATTCCAAAAATGGCTGGATTTTGATGGTTTTGTAAAGCTGTCATCTTTGCCCCCTTTCTATTCTCTCTTATCTCTCGGTGTCTCCCTTTTCTCTCTCTCTCTCTCTCTCTCTCTCTCTCTCTCTCTCTCTCTCTCTCTCTCTCTCTCTTCTCTTTCTTTCTCTTTCTTTCTCTCTCTCTCTTTCTTTCGCTCTCTCTCTCTCTCTCTGTCTCCTTTTTCTTTCTCTCTTTCTCTCTTTATTATCTCTTCTGTCTCTTTTTCTCATTCCCTTTCTTACTCTCCTCTGTTTGTCTCCCTTTCCCTCTCTTTCTTTATTTCCCCCTTGTAATAACCGTTTCTCTAATGCAATTCCTCTCTATCGTCACGTATTCTCTCCAATATACCCCCTACCCCATATCTATAAATATCCCTTTCTCTCTTCCTTATTCTTTCAGTAAAACAAATTGCATTATAATACGTCCCAAAACAGACAAAGCTAATGATAATAGCCACATAATTATGATTAATAATCATAACCAGGACGTGACAAAATCATGCTTATATAATTTGATAAATGAGTGGGCTTGCATTTTGTTTTTAGTTCAGCAATCATGACGATTGTAAAGTGGGACAGATGGTAATCATTCATCGTTTCTTTATGCATTATTTTGCAGCAAAATAACTCTGTGACACAATGATTTAGCACTCTTCTGCTTATTGGCAGAATATTCTTAAGGAAACTCAGAATGGAGACGTAAAGTTCAGCTCTATGTAAACCAGAGCAGCGTTCGATTAATGATTGAATTAATCTACTTTGAAAGGGAACTCTATATTTATTAGTGCGTCCCTGGTAATTAGACTGAATTACGTTATCTTAGTTTCTCAGGTACATACAGACCGACAAGTCTTGTGTATTTGAAAAAAATATCAATACAGTTCCATGGCTTAGAGGCATAGCCGGTCATTCCAGAAATCAGATGACCAATTGCCAATTTTACTTTATTGAAATGTGCCCAAACACCGGTGTATCTTTCTTACAATATGAATATTGCATGTGCGCAAGATACAAACGATAAAGAACGAAAGTTCGATGACGACATGAAACGATATCCCACGATGCGTGGTTTATTATACAGATGATTGATTAGGAAAGATTCTTTCAATTTTGTCAGAAAATCATAATTATGACGAATGGAGATCGTGGGGACAAAGAAGTGAGTGGTATCCAAGGTCACGGTCGTTGAAAATAATGTAGGGGATTTTCAATAGAGAATCAGTGCACGTGAAACAAACCTCTTCAAATTATAATGTTTTTCTCTATAAACAATGGAATAGATTTGATTTCTGGTATACAGGGTTTTGTAAAATATGATATTTAATTATCAGATCCATCGTCAGCATGCTGGCAAGTTTTATGATTTCGTATATTTATTTTAAAATACTACTGGGCATATCATGCAAAGTCGTGATAGTGCACACAAATAAAGCTATGTAGACCTGTAACAAAAACAGAGTTGCTCTTTCTCCTATTTTTTTTTGTATACATGCTTCTATCCTTTACTGAAAAAAAGCTATAAATAGCACTTGACGGGATAGTACAAAGAACGGATAGACAAACGTCTGACAGGTTTCGGTTTTAATTTTCTTTACAGCACTGAATTGTTAAAAATCGTAGGAATTTATTTAGTACCATTTCTTTTTTAATTCTTGCAGACCGGTGAATTGAATTACCTTATACACACAATCCAGTTGCCCGGTGACAGAATAGAGAAAAATCAGATAAGATCTGAATTTGAACGGAAACATTGGACATTTCCCTTTGTGAGGTACGATACTACATTACACCATTCTGGTATTTCGTTTATTTAGATGACGTCATAATAGAACCCATATAGAATTCTGCGGTATAGAGTGGGCAACGTTTTTGTTTGTTCCTACCTGTCTTGAATGAGTGGCTAGAAATACAAATAGCAATGACTCATTATGTTTATAAAAACAATCACATAATGACTTGGGGTAGTACAAAGAGAGCAAACGAAAGGGAAGATATTTTTTTTTTAAATAAAGAAATGAAAATAGCGCAAAAGGTGTTGACGGGGCCTTCATAATTATTCATTGATAATAATACTACTACTACTAATAATAAATAGTTTATGGCAATTCCTTTTTTTTTTTCCTCTTGTCTTTTTCTTTTTTATCGAAGACTTGAGACACTTCAATTTTTCATTCCTTCATCACAATTTATTGATAATTGGGATTCGATGATGAAAATGTGCCCTTCTTCATTCCGTAAAATGATATACGGGCCCTCTTTGCAAACGCACATTAAGAGGGAGGAAAAGTTGCATCCTAATTTCATAATTTAGATGAATATTATGTCGCTCGTTGTTTTACTTATATGTTTTCTTGTTGGGTCAAACATTTACTAGGTGGATGTTACGTCACAGCCCTTCTTCATTCCGTTAACGCACATTCCGCAAACGAACATTGAGAGGAAGACAAGGTTGCTTCCTAAATTCATAATTTAGATGAATATTATGTCCCTCGGTATTGTACCAAATAATATGTTTGCTTGTTGGGACAATCATTTAGGTTGATGTTACGTCACATCTCCTAAATTCTATAAGTTAAGTCTAAAGAGACGGATGGACATCGAAGAATATGACCCAAAAAAATACAGTCACAGCATGGAGAAAAGTGGATTCCATAGTTGGAGAAAAGTTATATACGTATATTAGTTGTGCATGTAAGCTTTCCCAGTTGGTACATGGGAAGAATATAATTATACGCCAGTACAAGACGTGACAGTGAACTTGACTGTGAATGACAG